CTCCAGATGTAGTTATTTTAAAGAATTATCTCCAATGTCCAGGTACAGAACATTCGGAGTTTCTAACGCTATGCAGCCTTCTTCTGTTTTAAGGACAACTCCATCTTTATTCTCTAAAATGCTTACTGAAAGCAGAGAGAGTACAATAATTTTATGATTTAGGAATGATTATTAGTAAAGGCAAAGGCACTTCTGAAGTCATCAGTAGTTGGATCATTACTAGAGTAGGCCGGAGAAGCTTTTTTTCACCTAACTGTATTGTTATCACAAGGGAGCTAACAAGGTAGGTGACAGGTACATTCTATGGAGACATCAAGGATCTATTAGACCTCTGTCTCCCCTGCCATCTGCTCCAGCCAAACAAGCACAGGGCTTTGCTGAATCAGCTGTTTACCTGGCTTCTCAGTCAGGATTTTGATACCACTGAAACTGGAAATGCTCAAAGCGGAGAGTTTCTGGGTTCACAATCATCAGAGGACATCATGGAATGAATGTTCCTTGATGTCCTCCCGTTCACCATCTTGACATTCTTTGTTGTAGTCCTGGGCTCCTGGGAAGAGCAGGAGTACCAGAGTACTGGGGAAGGGAAAGAGTCTGGCAGGGGCACCGCACACACAGCTGCCCATGTCACTTTTACATTAAAGCCCAGAGCCTGCTGATTGAAACTAAAACAAGCTGTGAGCTTGTGTTAACCCCTTGAACATACCAGATGTGTCTAAAAGATTTCAAGGGGTTCACGTGGGTCATGCCATTCTTCTTGCTATCCCATTTAACAGTACCTGTGATATTGATCTATGGTTCACTCTGTCAGCCACAGCTATCCTTAAGGTGCCCATACACCTTACAATTATCTGCAGATTTTCTGTGGTCAGATAGAAAAAGTGCAACAGATTGGCCCAGGTGGAGATTACTCCATCCACACAGTTAAGTATAGATGGAGGAATCTGTTGCACCTTTTCCATCTGACCACAGAAAATCTGCAGATAATTGTAAGGTGTATGGCCAGCTTAGAAAACTCCACCTACCTTCCAAAGTCTGTCAGTGTTTAATCTGAATGGACATTCTGTCAGCCACAGCTATCCTTAAGGTGCCCATACACCTTACAATTATCTGCAGATTTTCTGTGGTCAGATAGAAAAAGTGCAACAGATTGGCCCAGGTGGAGATTACTCCATCCACACAGTTAAGTATAGATGGAGGAATCTGTTGCACCTTTTCCATCTGACCACAGAAAATCTGCAGATAATTGTAAGGTGTATGGCCAGCTCAGAAAACTCCACCTACCTTCCAAAGTCTGTCAGTGTTTAATCTGAATGGACATTATTATTATTATTATTATTACATAGTATTTATATAGCACCAACAGTTTGCGCAGCGCTTTACAATATAAGGAAGCCATTACAGTTACAATACAATTCAAGACAAGATGGTAAGGAGGGCCCTGCCCCTGAGGGCTTACAATCTAAAAGAGGAGGGGGAAATGATACATGAGGTAGCTGTGGTAGCTGTGGGAATGAATTATGTGAGAATGTGAAGGTTCAGTGGTTAGGTCGAGGTGGGATAGGCTTCCCTGAAGAGATGAGTCTTTAGGGAATGCCTAAAGGCAGTCGAGGTGGGAGATAGATGGACAGGTTGGGGTAAGAAGTTCCAGAGGATGGGAGGGACTCTAGATAAGTCTTGATGAGAGTGAGTTGTTAAAAACAGAAGTAGCCAGGTCAGGGCAGGATAGGGGTGAGATTTTGTCAAAGAGGGAGTCAGTAGCAGAGTGGAGTAGAGAAAGGTCGAGGTGGTGGAGTGTGCGACAGTGTGCCTTGTAGGGGGAGGCAGGGTTGGGGACAGGGTGATTGTGAAACTGACCAGGTTGTGGTCTGAGAGTGGGAAAGGGGTGTTGGAGAGGTTGCAAGGAGTGCATAGGTGGGAGAAAACAAGATCAAGTGTGTTACCATCAGAGTGAGTAGGAGTCTGTGTCCATTGAATTAGATCAAAAGAAGAGGTTAGGTTAAGAAATTGAGTGGAAGCCGGGGAGTTAATGTTAGTAGCAATGTTAAAGTCACCAAGAATGATAGTGGGTATTTCTGAGGAGAGAAAGTAGGGTAGCCAGGCAGAGAAGTCATCTAGAAAGCGAGATACTGGTCCGGGTGGCCGGTATATAACAGCAATCCTCAGAGAAATTGGAGAGAATAGGCGAATGCAGTGGGTTTCAAAAGAGGAGAGGGATAGAGAGGGAGGTGAAGGCAGAATTTGAAAAGTGCTTTGCGGGGATAGGAGGATTCCCACTCCACCTCCTTTCCGTCCATTGGGTCTGGGTGAGTGTGTCCAGTGGAGGCCACCATAGGAGAGGGCAGCAGGGCCATAAGCACATAAGCAGCAGGGCCATAAGCACATAAGCAGCAGGGACATAAGCACATTATCTATCCTGACTGAATGGTTTTGTGTTCTTTTTATTGGCTGAGGTTAGCTGATCGAAAAAAAAACATTCTGTCAAAGGAGGGATGAAGAAAGTGGGAGTAAGTAAAGCTGATTTTAAAGCTAAAGCAGTACATTCTGGGATGTGGGGGACATGATTCAGCATTAATTGTTGTAAAACTTCAAATTAGCCCTAATAACAGTTCCTTTAATATAAATCTTAAAGAATATCTTTATTTTTTATACCATTTCAAACATTAATATTGCGGATCATGACTAGCCCATGCTTGTTTTTTGTTATTAACTCACAACTCTCCGGTCTTCGCAGGGTCGCGGATGATGGGCGATGCTGGGCGATTGAAGGAGGCCGAGAGCTTCCCCTCATGTCTGACCTGTGTGGGGATATCCTCCTGGGAACCCCTCGAGTCCCCGCTCGAACCCCCGGAAGACGAGTGGGGTGAGTTCCTGGCGCCATCTTGGGCCTCAAACGAGTCCTCCAACCGCGGCTTGGATTTCGCCGGGCTACGCGTGGACGGCGTGTCTAGTCGGCTGGGCATGGCGGATGGTATCTTCGGGAGCTGTACGGGCTATTGTGAATAGCCCGTACAGCAACCTCTCGGTTCTGCTGAACCGAAGGGGTCCTGGAGCCGAAGCTAGCCGAAGGATCGGCTGAAGCTACGGCCAGATCCTTCGGCAGCTTCATGAATAGACCCCATAGTATGGGTATGACAGCTCGGGAAACAGCAACTAAACAAAAGGGCATTATTACTGCTGATGTTTTCTATCATTAGAGGTTGACATTAAGATGCTAGGCAAATATATTTGACAATTTAATCTACTACATAGATAGTTAAATGATGGATTGTAGCATAAGATTGCCAGATTTTCAAAATGAAATTCGGGGGACACCACACTGGCTATGCCTACTTTTAGCCCTGTTGCTGCCAGGGCTGTTTTTGCATTTTTGTACACCTGTTAAAATGCACATTTTTGGCCTAAAATTGTTTAAAGCAGCCAAAACCTATATATTTTCTGAAAGCACAGGGGCCTTGGAGAATAAAATACTGATAGTTGTAATTTTTAGGAAACATTTTAGGTTACTAAGGAGCAGCATACCCATTGGAGGTGCCTTTCTAGCTATAAGGCACTGTGGTACTGGAGGACTTAGTCATTCTTTGTACTGTAAGACCAATGGAATGTCATAGGAATGCCTGCCCTTAGGTACCCCACAGCTGCTGCCGATATTACCCATTTTGCATTGCCTGTGCCCGGCTATTGCGGAGGATGGTAATCATATAGTAGCACCATACTACAAGTGCTTAACAGTGTAGTATATACCCTTTAGTGCCAGACATCATATGTTGCTGTACTTTTCATACTCTAGACCACCTCACACTGTATGCCACACTGTACAGTTAATATTCCATATTGCTGCACCTTGTTTATTTAATAGCATGCCTTTCCACTTTGTACACTATGATGTATCCAATATACTCCATGCACATAATCACTCCGTTTTAAAAGATTTAAAAAATTGTAAATTTTAAAACTTTTGAAATTACATTAACATGTTTAAACTGCAAGTGTTAAGAGTTCACTTGTGTCAAGGGATTAAAATAAAAAAAAAGTTATACTCATCCAATCTTCAAAGCCAACTTGCTCTTAGACTGGTCCCTTCCACCTCACTCCCCTTCCACTGCAGCAGTGTAAGGTCTCTGAGTCATCATGTTCTATACACAGTGTACAGGACGTGAGGATGGCAAAGGAAATATCATTGTTGCAGCAGAGGAGGAGACAGGCTGGAGGGAGCGATGTGATAGCAGGCTAGCTTGGAGGTGAGTATAACTTTTTTTAACCTAGACATAAATGAGCAGTTAACCTTTGCAGTGTGGTGTTAGCCCCGCTGCAATGGTTGATACAATTTTAGTTTTGCTTCATGCTTGAGATTGGGTTGACACATCCAAAAGACAGCTTTTTTAGACACTAAAAGGCATATTCATAAAGCAATGAATGTAACATTTACCAAATATTTACTACAGTTGAATCAATCAATGTTATAAAATACATATACCAGAAAGCTACACCTGCAGTAAATGTTTGGTTACTGACACGTTTACTGCTTTATAAATGTACCACATTCTTTTTTTAAATTTACAGTAGATTGTAGTTTTTTCTTTAAATTGTATTTAACATTAGATAGTTACTTGACTCTAAATGTAAAGTTGTTCCGATACTTGTGACTTGCCATTGTCAAGAGAAGCATTTCTGTGAAGTCAGAGTAGTTCAAACAAACTTTATAAATAAAAATGGCTGAGGGCAATGTTTCCCCAAAACATGTTACAGATGACAGATTTTTGTAATTTTCTGTCTAAATAAATTTGTTCACCGCAAAAGAAGCAACTAAATACTTTACCTACTTTTCTGGTCCACAATTGCTGAGTGCTAAATATAGATGGATTTAGAAAGTGTATTGTTTAAGACGTTTGTTCTGAGGGTTCATAACATTTGTTTGTAATCTATCTTGTAGGTACTATACATTATTTTGTATTAGCCTATGATCTGAAAGATATTGCAAACTCTTATCTCATTTACAGTGGTAAACTGCACAGATCCTGGTTTTGTGGAAAATGCAATTCGTCATGGACAACAGAACTACCCTGAAAGCTTCCGTTATGGAATCAGCGTGACCTATCATTGTAAAAAGGGATACTATCTTTTAGGATCATCTGTTCTTAACTGCAAGGCAAATGGCATGTGGGACAGATCACTTCCTAAGTGTATACGTAAGTTTTCTATGTTCAGTCCTATTTATTTCAAAGCTAAAATGTCTGTGTAAATGTAACACCTGGATGGATGAAAGGAAAATATTTTCTAGAGTTTACAGACTAAAATGTCCATATATAAAAAAATATTTGAAAGCATATATTTCACCAACTTTTATTTGTATTAGTTCATTTTCAACTGCATTAGCATATAGGCTGAAAGGTTATCAAAGATTGGGTTGTAACAGAAACTGCAACATGTCATGTAACACAATTTAAACCTGAACTACAGGAACATATAAAGGACACCAATTAATTCAGTAATGCATTCACAAAAATAAATTATTTAAATGCACCTAGTGTAAGTACCTTTAAGGTGCCCATACACTGCACGATTCTCATACGAGAATCGCGGGAAATCCCGCGATCGTACAAGAACCGTGCAGTGTATGGAAGGCGTGCAACCGTTTCTACTGTACGGTCGCACGTCTTCCGTCGAACCTGCAGGCTAGAAAACCCGCCGGGAATCGTACGATTCTCGGCGAGTTAGTGGCCTGCTGGTTCGACAACTGCCAAACGGGCCGGTGTGCGCACACAGCCCGTTTGCAGTCATCGTAAGCCTGCCCCTCATTGCAGTCATCATAAGCCCGCCCCTCAGGGGGGCGGGCTTGCGATGATCGCAAGTGCGATCTGCCTGTCCAAGATGGGCAGATCGTACGTTTTTTTAAGTACTTTACAACCCTCGCAAGACAAAAGTTTGCGAGGGTTGTAAAGTGTATGGGCACCTTTATTTGTCTTGGTGTATTGTAATCCCCTGTAGAGCAACACAGACTAGACTGATGCTGGTGAAGTCAGCCACAGAGGCTAATTAGTGCTTCACACTAATTAAGCTGACAAGGAACATACTGACAGGAGAAGAGATCAGTATGAGCACAGTAATAAACGTCTGCTGCTCCTTCAGTCTCAGGCTGTGGCAGAGATATCAAAGTACATCCACACTTAGGAAAACCACTGAGAATAATCACAAATACTTCTTTCACATTGGGAAGGCAGCACCTCAGTAATAGGGAAATCTTCACTAATTGGCCAATCTAAAAACAAAACAAGTGCCTTTCCCTTGTGTAGTATTACTTTATTAATTAAAAATATATTGATAAAACACCAAAAAAAGCTTTTGGATTTACCTTTTTGTGAACAGTTCAAAATGTGATCAGAGTTTGGTTCATATGTTCAGTATGTGAGTATGTTTTATAAATATATTTTTCTTAATAAAGTAATCTGGTAGGGCTGTATACATCTCAGGACTGGGTGAAAATACAAATCCATAAATATGATTTTAAATAGAATATTTAACTGTTAGGCTGGAGGTCACCTGCAGATGACATGTTATAAAATATACACATGACTTCAGAAGAAATACATGGAGTGGAGCAATCCTTACATTGCTAATATGAACTATTATTTAACAAGCAGGTAAACCTAAAATACAGCTTGCCTCATATAAAAAATACATTCACGTAGGTAAAATCATAACAAAACTCAAATAGCATGTTATAATGCCACAGCTTTTTTTCATAAATAATATTTTACTACTTGTCAAATAATTTCAAGAGTACAGTGGGTTAGATAAAGAGAAAAGCAGAAGCCTCCTGCCTCTTGGCTCTTTTTGTCTGGTTAAAACCTCAGGCAGAGCTTTCTAAAAAGGCATGAGTAATGGCTCTGACACAATTATTTGTGCATGTAAATGCCATCATAATCTGTTGAGCTTTGTAAATAAAAGAGGTTTTACAACAACTGAGCAAAGGTGACAGAGAAAAACATGCTGGCCACCTGCAGGATAAATTAATGACTGCACAATATTCATATGTAATATTTCATATTTAGGTAAGCAAGTAAACAAGAAATATATTTACCTTGTTTATTTTTGTTGTGACCCTAATAATAAAAAAGTATGAGCCACAACACTATACATCTATTATACAACTAAAAGTCTACTTAGCCTATGATTAGGAAGAGTGTGAGGGAATCCCATTATTGGCTTTGTAGTTGGAATATTTGATTTGCACAGTGGCATCACTATCCTATTGAGATAGTGCTATACTTCTTTATTAGGGTACTATGTCCATATTGAGACACTTTTGTCACATGGGATTCTCGCCCCCCTAAATACTCCTTAAAATTGGGATCCTCATTTGATCCATCTAGATGGTTAGACATTACATAATAGATGTGTTTGGGGGACCCACTGCCATTATTCATTCTGAAAGCAAATATGGTTTGTCTGCAAACCAAATCAGTGTAAAACCCTACTAAGAAAAAACTTTGTTTCAGTCAAGTACATTTTTATTTTATTTTCCACTGCAAGATTGGGAAAACCATTACATGTGTACAACAACAAAGCTCTCTTGATCCTTAAAGCCCATTTCCACCTTTGCAGAGGTATTTAAAAAAACATATGCCAGCAATGTACACTGATTGTACATTCTCAGTAGAGTGTATTGTGTGCAAAGGCAGAGATGTAGTTTAGTGATCATGTTACACAGAATCACCGGAGGGCAGCCATTTACTTTACAATCCAACCCCAGTGTCACATTGGATTTCCTGTGGAGAAAATGTAAAATTTCAAGTATTCAGGTCTAATGAAAAGTATATTAAAAAATGAAGAAAGCCTGCAATGTGAATCATGAAAATGTGCACATGTATACATCATCACTACACCTCTACATTACCACAATAAATGCAAAGCACTTACAAAGGTGGAAATGGACTTTAAATGGCTAATAATAGAGAACAAAGGGATGTGCACTATTGTTCAGATATGGAATCTGATGCTCTCTTTTAGATGTAACTTTGTTTACAATTCTTAGTTTTAGTGTTAGTTCAGTAATACATTTGTATAGTACGCAATATACATCCAAAAAAGAAGATTAAAGGGCAGTATTAAAACTAGTAGCACCATATAAATAGCTCTTATAGTGTTTTGTTACAAGAGAACACATTACTTAGAAATGCACTTGTAAACAAAGAAATAGGCCTGGCTCAGTCTGTTAGTGTGGTGCACATTGTTATTAAAAGGTGATACTAAATATTGCCTGGGCATATGTCCGAGAACAGACTCTGCTGTAGGTATTAGGATATAAAACTAGTAAAATCAGTCATTTTAGCTGCCTCTGCCACCTAAAACTATGCAGAGCTATGAGTTTTTAACCCAGGTCTATACTTGGACACTGCAGGTTGTTGTCTTTGTAACTGTATCCTAAAATTAGTTTGATAAGCTTTTATAAATAATAAGCAAGGTGCTGCAGTTTTAGCCCTGATTCTTTGTGCTTGATTTATTTGTTTTAGAAATGTCCCAATCTAAACCGTTTGTTTTTATTAATATATGTTAAAAATTATTTGTGGATCAAATCAATTATGAGAACAATGCAACTTATTCCCTCATAATGTAATGTTTGTAATACTACTGTCTAGGGACAAGGGCACACAGTATTATAGCAAACCATGTGTGGCAATATTATAACAGGGCATCCATAAGGTTAAACTTTGTTCACTCTAATGCCCCTAAACTGCAGGTCAGCATGCATAGCAGGCACCGAGGAACACCTAAATATTTTGTCAAATACATTGTACAACTCCCTGGGTGCCCTAAAGCCTGAAGAGCACTAATAAGTGAATAAATAATTAAAGGTGTATCTAAATCAAATACAAAAAAATAGCATCTTACTAGTTTTGAAATAATCTATTTTTAGGCTTTTCCCCATTATTGTTACCTGGTAATTCTGTGAACAACACACTTTCTGTTTCTGGATGGCTATGTTCACTTCTCGACTGTATATTTGGAGAGAATCATGGTTGACACCCAAGTTGGACTGCAAGCCTGTCTGCCTCCATTCATCTCCACTACGTGGGGGTAGGGAGATTAGTAGTTCACAGAAGACAGATAATTCCCAGGTCTGCTCACAGGAAGTGATTAGGACTGCAGATATTTTTTGTACATGCTATGTGTTTAGTGGGAAAAAAAAGAATGCAGCCATCAAATCTAAGGACTGGTACGCTGACCCTTCCTCACCTGCTCCATATTTGTCTATGATTCTATTCATTAGAAAGGGTGATCAGTAGTAATCCATTAAAGATGGGAGGGTCAGAGCCAAGTGTAATGCTAGATAATACTGTTTTCATATTACAACAACTCCCCGGCATTAGGGTCTCCAGAGAGTACCACATTGTATCTGACCATGGGTGCAGGTACCCAATATGTATGGCTGCCTGCAATTTGATTTGAGCTACAGTGAACACAGGTCTACTTTAAAAGTTACAAAACCTTTTAACATTCAGTTATTTTTGTGCAAATAATATATTGAGAATTCACAGGGTGTGCATTCCATGCTACTCTTTTTAAGAACATCTCCATGCAGATGCCTTTGCTTTTGAAAAATTAAGGTATTATATTTACTTGTGGAAATAAATTATGTCTATTATTTTGTATTGGTCACATACAAGAAATATATTGCTGTGGCGTACATAATATATTTCTGCATTCATCTGTTGATAAAGAAAACCGTACTGTGCATTTGAGTCTATGTGACCTTGAAACATTCTTTTTAAATAAAGTAAGCCATATTTCCAAAAAACAAATGTGGATGAGCTTTAACAACATCTCAAGAAAAAATGAAAAAAAGTTTTTTCCCGCTACAATGACTTACTTCCAGGGTAAATCAAGGTAAAGAGCCTAGTAAACTGAAGCAAGTGCACCCATGTAAACACTTGTGGAGTCTCCAAAGGGAATGGAAGAGGTTAATGTGCTCCATGTAATTTCTTTAAAAGTGTATTGCAGTTAAGGTTTTTGTAACAGCAGATATAAGAGGCTAGATGCTTTACTGCAGCCTTGAACACAGCCCAAGAGGAAGCAAACAACTAAAATTAAAACATAAGTGATGAAATATCACAAGAGATTACCTGTAACAATGGATTTTTTTATTATTTAGAAAGTGTGTAAGTAAGAAAAGGAGTAAAGTGGAGTTCTTTGGAGTTCTTTGCTCCCTTTTATGTATTTTTTCTTCTCAAATGATTCTGCATCAGTGTTTGCTGTTAAAACAGTTTATATGGAAATGAGGTCTGTTGAAATTAACAATATCATTATTTTTACTTTCCCCTTGTGTTGTCTCTCAATCTACCTGTAGTCATTAAGAGAAAATTATAAGTGATCCAGGGAATATGAGTGTCCCTAAGAAAATTATTTACAGTAGTTCAAAAAGCCGTCTCATTAGCAGTTAGGTACCTTAATTGTTTTTTGTTAGTTTTGCTTTGGGATATAAAAATAGAATGAAGAAAAAATATTTTCTATTTATAACAGTGTTTACTTCCTCTGGAAAACAATTACATTAAAGATTTATTTTTTTAAGTAAATCATCAAATAGAATTAGAATCATGTTCTATTATTTTTAAATTATTTGATCAAAAAATCTACCCCTAAATGTGTGATGATCATACACAAACACACTTTGCCACAATTGTGCGACCATTGAGTGACAGGAAACAATAGGGAACTGAATGAGAATGTCAAACTTATATAGTAAGCTTTTTTTTTAGTTGTAATGCCAAAATATTATCTGCTACAATGGTTTGTATCTCATACACTTCACAATTATATTGCAAGGCCAGTCTATTGTATGTGACACTTATTCCATTAATAACGTCATCTCACCTTTCTGTGGACCCTGACTTGTTGTGTGACTACTCACCAGCTTTTTTAAATATTTGATGTAACATGCTGGTAACAATTTAGAATGAATCTCCAATGCTTCACACGTATATATAATATATATATA